TTTTTCTGCAGTATTTTTTTCACATTGGGTTTCCTCTCTATGTTTTTGTAGTTTCTTCTTTACTTCAGATGCTATGAGTTCTGAGAATTCTTTTTTTTTATTTCAGAAAAGAATTCCACTCTGAGTTCCTGTATAACTTTCTGCTGTTGCTTATTTACTATTGATGCTATTAACTCTTACATTTGTACAGAGCTAGTGGAAAAGAATTCCACTCTGAGATTCTCTGACTTTCTGCTGTAACTTATTTACTATTGACACTATTAATTCATATATTTGAGCCAAGCTAGTGTCCTCTGCACATGATCTGGGTGAGCACTGGGTTTCCTCCATATGTTTCTGCATTATTCGTTACTGCAGATGTTATTAATTGAGGGATTTCTTTTTTATTTCCAATCTGAGTTCATCTATACCTTTCTGCAGCTGTTTTTTTATTTCAGAATCCGTTGATTCATTGCTTTCAGCTGTGTGATTCCCAATTTGTTCTGTGTTAGTGTCCTCTCCACTTTTTACAGGTGGGTTTGGGTTCTGAGGTTGCATTTTGTTCCTTTTCATCATTTTGTGCAGCACTGTCTTCTGACCTTTGTTGTAGATCTTTGTTGCAGTTATAACCATAGCACCTACTTAGATCAGGTACACATCTACAAAGTTTGGATTTATCCACCTGTGTCTGGCTTTGGTCTGGCTGCTGTGCTCAGCTTTTTCCTGTTGCTGCCCTTCGGTGAACCTGTTGTGCCCCTCTCTCAAGATGTTCTGCTCCTGGACTAGCTGGGTGGTTCTACCCTCTACACTCTCTGCAGGGATTGCAGCTGCAGGGTTTCAACCCAGGCCTGTATGCCAGGCCTGAGTTGAGCCTGGAGGGAACAAGGTGGAGTAGGGGGCTAGGCAGCTCTCCCACACACTCAGTTGGCCTGGCCTAGGACTGGATCTGGTGTTTCCCGGAATGTGGCAGAATTTCCTACTTGGCAGGCAGTGTGGGCAGGTGCTGCGGAGTGGTGGGGGCATCCCAAGGGGGTGAAAGAGAGTCTCACCCACTCTGTGTCTTGGCTGGGACCAGTAGTTCCCACCAGCACTGTGTAGCCAGATGCTCTTCCACACACTCACTTGGCCTGGGCTAGGACTGGATCTGGGGGTTCCCGGAACATGGCAGAAATTCCTACTTGGCAGGCAGGGTGGAGGAAGTGCTGCGGAGTGGCAAGGGGTGTCCCAATGGGGTTGAAGAGGGTCTCGTCCATGTTGTGCCTGGGCTGGGACCAGTAGGTCCCACCAGCCCATGGTAGCAGGAAGCTTTTCCACACACTCACTGGGCCTGGGTTAGGACTGGATCTGGGGGTTCCTGGAATGTGGTAGAAATTCCTACTATCCGGGTGGGGTGGGGAAGGTGCTGTGGAATGGTTGGGGGCATCCCAAGGCATGGAAGAGGGTCTCACCCACGCTGCACCTGGGCTGGGACCAGTAGTTTCCCCCGGTGCAGGGTAGCTGGATGCTCTCCCACACACTCACCAGACGTGGGCTAGGACTGGGTCAGACATTAATAGCTTTAATTGAGTTAAAGATTTAAAAAGGATAATATTGAGGAATGAGCTCATAGAATTCTAAACTTTTTATTTATTTATTTATTTTTTTTGTACCAGGAATTGAACTCAGGACCTTGGGCTTGCCAGGCAGGTGCTTATTCTGCTGAGCTATATCCCTGGATAGAGTTCTAAACTTAAGGCAGCTAAAGTAGAAAAGAAGCAAGGTGATTTATTAGGGATTCATTTCTTAATCCAAATCTAATATTAGAAGAAAAAATTCACCTCCATCACCTTTAGTGGCATCGATAAACTTCAGCTGATGGTTGCCAAGACACAAATGTTCTTGGTTAGAGCAAGCAAAGTTAGTGTGAAGAATTCAGTCTCTTTGGATGCCTCAAGATATCAAAATGGATTCTCCAAAAGAAATGACTTTTCTGAGATGATGCTGAGTCTCTTTCTACAATTTCATATGAACTACGTAGTCCGATGAGTTTCATGCTGATGGTGGTATTTCCTGAAAATGGAGCAACTACTTCACAAGTTAGCAAATGTTATTTGAAGAGAAAAATATTAAAGTTTGAGTTGGCTTTTCCAATCTAGCCAATGAATTAATGTCATTTCTGTGTTTGTAAATGACTGCTTGTCCTAGACCAGCCATATATGAGCAAGTCCATCGACTCATACAAGAGGAAGATGTAGAAGCTACAACTGTGACTAAACTAACACCTCAGGGTAAATGGGTTATTGTGATGAAATATAATTCTTTTAACAAGAAGATGATAGTATATGTCCACCGTGGGATATTCTGATAAAAATAAAATGTACATGGCTAGGTGTATAGACCTATTGTTATGCACATAGCAAACCAAGTGGAGAGGTACATAAAATTAGGCTTGAATATTGGAAATTTTGATTATTTACACTCGGATAAAAAATGTATAAATGTCACAAGTTAAAAATAAGAAGCACACTAACTTGATTTAAATACAGTTAGATACAGTGTTACATGAAAGTGAATGCAAACATAGTGCCCTTGCACCAGACTGATTTGTTTTCTGGGCATAAATTTTAAGATTTATCCTTGGTGCCTTCCTCACCATGTCAGAAAAGGACTCCCCTTCTAGGAGCTGTTGTTCAGGTGGAAGTCTAAAGCATTTGCAGTCCAGAGGGAAGGGACAGGTATTCTGACCAGTCTCAGGAAGAACTCCTCTTTGCTGAGAACTCAGTTTCTGTCTCTTTCTTAAAATCCTGTGAAGTTCCAGTACCAGTTCTTACTCCACATAGCCCCAATGCGAGGTTGTTCGTATTTCCCTTTGTCTTCTCTACAAAGCTCTGTGATGCCTGGACAAGAAGAAGCCAGAGGGACTATTATGGCTTGATATTAAATATCTCCCCAACGTTGAAGGATTTATCACCAGCTGAGGGCCATATTGGAACCTCACCCAACTTTGGGGAGGTCAGGCCAACCATCAGGTAGTCAGTTCACAGGAGCCATGCCCTCCTCGGAAATGTTGGGATGCCTTCCAGTTTTCCCTTGCTTTTTTTGTGTTCCTGAAGGAGATTTGTGACCCCTAAACTGCTTTGTCCTATCACACACCCCTTACATGGGATTCTGCCCTAGCAGAGCCCAAAGGGATGGAGCCAACTGATTAAGATCTGCACTTCTTTGCCTATAAGACAAAATAAGTCTTTCTTCATTTTGATTATCTCAGCTGTGTGAACACAGCAATAGAAAGCTGATGACAGAGAACTGGCCACCTCTACGTTGATGATATTTTGCTACCTCTTTTAATAATTTTTCCTTAAAATTTATCTAGACTGGCCTCTTTTTCAATATCTCCCCACTTGAGGTAGGAAAACTGAAATATAGGGTTTACATTGTTTGCTGAGTATTGTCAGAGAAGGGAAGGTGAAGTCTATTCTTGGTAGTGAATACCCCTTGTTTTCTACCACCTCTGAAATATATGGTAGTGCTTTATTCTCTTTTGAGTAGCATTTGCTGTGGCTGTGTTTTTTTGCTTGGCCCTTTTTCTACTTATCGTTAGCTATTGAGAAAGAGCAGTCTTGTCATATTCCTTAATCTCCATCATGACAGTGCGGTAGCATAATCCTTCATCTATCTTACTGGTTATAATGATGGTCACAGAGAAGACACTGGTAGGGAATGGAGGAAGGAGGATAAATTTTGGAAGTGTTGGATTTTGACAGAATAATGTACCTTACTGGGGAAGATAAGAGGCAGAAAATGAGGGATAGTCTTTCTCTATGAATAATTTCACTCACTTCAGTGACTTAAGGTGACCAAAGAAAGATTTCTACCATGGCCAGACACACAGGAAAATACCTTCAAAGCTAAAATAACACTTACTCTTTAGTTCATTAACTTTGAGGTGTTTTTAAAGAGAATAAAAAGTCAGAAAAAACATTTGAAATAATACAGAATTTCATTAAACAAAATGATAAGAATTCAATAATAGTTTATATGTTGCATAATGGTGTCCTCAAAGTAGTTGCTTAGATTATTGGATGTTAGGATGCATAATTGGTCAAAAAATAAAAAAATAACATTAACTCTTCTTTTCAATAGACCAGTAGAAATCAGAAGTACAATTATCCAAGCTATCTTATGTATGTACATATATATTTTTCCCCTTCCTTCTTTATTTCTCTTCTTCTTTCACTCAATTCAGTTCTTACTTCCCTTTGAACAGTTTCTTTCCCTTTCACAGTATGTCTCTATTGTATCTTTTGGATTTTATTTATTCTTCCCCATTCTTATACTAGATAGACAATGCACTGTTACCAACCTTTAATGTACTAAATAGAGGATAGATTTATAGCAGATTTATAATAGATTCACATGAATGTACATTTGCAAGGCACTATTAAAACATGAATGATAATATTACCCAATATTTTAGTAATAATTTCTAGAATATTAACACAATTCTGACATGTTTTAGCAAGGGCATTGTACTCAGAGGCTCCCTATGTACCTAACTTAGACATTTTTATAAATCCTCAGTATTTAGGATATCTCATAAACTATGTTTTCCTACCAAATGCATCCTTCATAATTTTCTAATAATGTTTGGTCACAAGTTAGATTGCCAGTCTGAAATATATGGATTGATCAAAAATGAAAGCCATGTAAATAAATCTATCTTGTTTGCATGCTAGGCTATGAGGTTTCAGCATTTCCTTCATCAACAACTACAAAAGACTCTGTGCTATTATATTCAAGTCATGCAGGATCTGGATCAAACTCAGCTGGGATTTCTGTTAAAATGCATGACTTTCATGAGGAAAATATGAGTGTCATCCTTGCATATTCCTGATGGCTGTTGCATTGTCACTGTATATGTGATTTCATAAAAGGAAAATAATTTTGACTGCTCAAAAATTGAATATAGAAAACATTTTTAACTAATGCTCCAGCAAATTTTCATCAGTGAATTTTGAAATTGCTAAAATTTCTGCCAGAAAATGGTTGGTGTTTTAAATAGCATCTTTATAATTGTTTTAACTGTGGAATCCATGATAAGCATTGCAGGAAATGTCTTCATAGCACTGGTGAATTGCATGGACTGGATGAAGAGAAGAAAGGGTTGTTTTGTTGACCAAATCCTCACTTCTTTGGCAATCTCCAGAATTGCTCTGCTCTGCTCAGCACTGACACACACGTTGTTATATGCAACACATCCAGGTTCTCTGAAGACTGCAAACATAATAAGAATGACTACTGTCAGCTGGTTTGTGACCAATCATTTTAACATTTGGCTTGCTATGTGCCTCAACCTCTTTTATTTTCTTAAGATAGCCAATTTTTCTAACTTTATTTTTCTTTACCTAAAAAGAAGAGTTAAAAAAGTGGTTTTAGTGATATTGCTGATGTCACTGGTTCTCTTATTGTTCAATATCATAGTTATAGACATACAGACTAATGTCTGGATTGATGGATTTAGAAGAAATATATCTTACACCTCCAGTATGAGGAACTTTAAAAAGCTTCCCAGACTTCTTTTATTCATCAGCTCTATGTTCATGATCCTACCCTTTCTTGTGTCCCTGGCAGCTTGTTTTCTGCTCATCTTCTCCCTATGGAAACATTTGAAGAGGATGAAGAGGATGCAGCACAATGCTAAGGGGCCCAGAGATGCCAGCACCATGGCCCATATGAAAGCCATGCAAACTGTGGTCACGTTCTTCTTACTTTATACCATCTACTTATTGTGTCTCATCCTACAGATTTCAAGCTTTGAATTTTTGGCAGAAGACCAAATAATTTTTTTTGAACATGCTATTGGAATTGCTTTTCCCTCAGGACACTCACTTGCTTTGATTTCAGGAAACAGTAAGCTGACAAAAGCCTTTTTTTCAGTGCTGTGGAGGCTGAGGTGCAGGCCAAATGCTTAGCTCTCTAAAGCATTTTAGGACTGCTTTGCATATGCCTGAGGAAGATTAGTTCCTAAGAAATTCATTTTTTTGGACCTGGAATTGAACTCAGGTACTTGCTTGGGAGTACTTTACCACTGAAATATATCCCCAGCACAAGAAATTCTTCTGTGTTATAAATTTTTAGTTTCCCAATATTTTTATTGTATTTAACTTATAAATTTTGCATGAGTTTGGAATAAGCCTTAACAAAACACATTGCAATGTTAGCAGTACATTTGCAAGTATATTGTTTTATATGCAGAAATATGTCATATATATATATAGCTCAGCATATATATATATATATATATATATATATATATATATATATTTACAGCTCAGCATATTAATATGGCTTAACTTTTTGTACTTGGGGTTTATAATTTTCTGCTGTGGTAAAGACCAAGATAAGGCAAGACTTGTATAACAAAAAATGTAACTTTTATATCTGGCAAGGTCTGTCAAATTCCCTCAGGATTTACCCTGAAACCATGCACAACAGTTTGTAGACCTTTTGTCAGTGTCAGCCATCTGGATGTGTTGTGACCATTGCTTGGCCAATGTACTCTCTGTGAAAGCCTGAGAGAATGTTTTCTCTCTAGGAGACTTTTCTTAGTCCCACTATACAATTTTAAAATTTAATTTAGTATCTTTTTTGAGTGTGCGGTACTGGGGATCAAACTCAGGACCTTTTGTATGCCAGGCAGGTGTTTATGCCACTGAGTTATATCCCTGGTCCACAAAATTAAGCAAATTTATGCCAAACATATTTGTTTGCAAAATGAATTGCTTGTGAATAGAAGTATTCATGACCCAAGGCATTATTTTATTTTTTTCCATTGAAAAGAAAACTTCTCATGTAGATTTGCCAACATCTTAGAAATGTAGAACAAAACAAGCCTGTTACCATTACTCTAAATGCATAATTTCAAATATATACATCAATATAAGAATACTGGTTAAGAAATCACCCGAATTGTGAAGCTCCTTTACTCCAGTTTTATCATCTCTATTATTCCTTTTGTCTTCAATAATTGTTAGTATATTATTATTAGATTTTTTTTTATATTTGAAATTACTGGGAGTTGACCCAGCCCTTGATGATTTTCTGAATTTCCATAAGGTCTGTATTAATTTTGCCCTTTTCATTTCTTATTGCTTGAATTCAAACTATTTTTTTTTCACTTTTTAATGAGGTTCTCTAAGGGATTATCAATTTTATTTAATCTTTCAAAGAATCAGCTTTGTGACTCCCTAATTCTTTGTATTGTTTTATTTGTCTCAATTGCAATAATTTTTGCTCTCATCTTTATGATTTCCTCTCAGCTCTTGGGGTTGGGGTTGGTTTGATCTTCCTTTCCTAGACACTTGTGGTGCAGCATTAGGGTATTTATTTTTTCCATTCCGTTTTACTCATGTGTGAGTTCACAGCTATAAATTTCCCTCTAAGAGCTGTTTTCATTGCATCCCACAAATTTCATCCAGTAAATTGTGCTTACATTTTTGTTTGATTATAAGTATTGTTTAATTTCTTGTTTAATTTCATCTGTAACCCATTTGTTTCTGAGGAGGGTGTTATTTAATTTCCACATGTTTATGGGGTTTTTGTCATTTTTTTGTCATTTATTTCCAGTTTCATTGCATTGTGATCAGATAATGTGCATAATTTCTACTTTCTTGCATATATTTAACCATGACTAATGGAGAGTATATGGTCTATTTTAGAAAACATCCCATGTGCAGCTGAAAAGAATTTGTATTAAATGTTGTTGGATGGACCATTCTGTCTGTTTTAGTTATTTTTCTCTTATTTTTAGAACAAAATACCTGACACAAAATAAAGAAAGGATACATTTATTTATCTCACAGTTTGTGGAAGTTTTATTTCACACTTGGCTGCATCCATCTCCATTCCTTATATGAATACAGCATGGCACTCACATGCACATTCCCAGCATTGGATAATGAATTAATTAGAAACTCTAGAAGCCTGCCCCAGTGAATACATGAGGTTTTGGGAGGACATCTAGACACATGCCATTGCAATCACCATTAGTCCTAGTCATACAGCCTTGTTTTCACTACATTTATTCTCATTTATCTCTATTTTGTTTGTTATCCCTCTTAAATACTGCACAAACAGGATAAAATCAATCTATCAATGAAAAACTCATTGTATACAAGTTCTTCAGATGTGCTGGATTTATATAACTGTAGGTCTTGGGCCGGGGAGATGGCCCAATGGAATATGTGCGATCTTGCTTTAAGGTTAAAAGTTTCCACAATTTGTGAGTTGTGAAGCTGTACTTGATGTTATTGTTATTGATAATTGTACTGCTTTAGCCAGAATGTCTTATATGTTACAAGTAGATTTTCTCCCTTGTATGACAATGTTGATTGTTTGGGATGTCTTCTTCATAACATATCCCAGTACCAACGGATACATGCAAAGCCAAATAGAGAGCAACATCTCATCCTTAATGAATTGGGAAAGTAAGTTATTTGGATAGACGCAAAGACAAACAACCACTTACACATTAAAGACTTCTCTGAGGAATAGACATTTCCAAGGGCAACCACAACATAATTGATAAAATTATCTATTATATGAAATTTATAGGTCAACACATAAAACAAAATGAAAATGGCAAGATACAAAAGCAAACTTCAATCTAGACTTACAGCCCATCCAGGACAAGTGCAGAGCATATTGAGAGAGAAGATATTGGAAGACACACACTAGAAAATTCTGAAATGCTAGCAGCAGGAGTAAAAAAAAATGAATTTTGCTAAAAAAAATAACATACCAGAAAAAACAATGATGATCAAAATTAAAAATCCGCTAAATAAATATAGAGTAGACACAGCTGAAAAAATAGAAGAACTTAACAAAATGATAGAAACTATATATTTTCCACTATATAAAAGAAATGGAAGATGTGAAACACATTGAAACAGTTATTCAGGAGTGGAAAAGTGCCATTCAAAATATGCACAATATGTTGAGTGAATGTGAATATCAAATATAAGACATAGAAGACAGGATTTCAGTTACCAATCATGAAGAGCAAAATGTCTCGAAGATAAAATGGTCCAAAAAAAAAAATTACCTAAGTTATACTTCTCCCTTCTCTGGAATAATACATGACACTTAAAATTAGAGAAGGAGATGAATATTTAGTTCATAACTTGTGAAGCTTTTAGTTGACACTCAGGTGGCTCAAAAGTACAGTGGCACATGGCAGAGAACAGCTGTTCATGATGGCAGAAGACAGCAAAGAGCAAAGAAAGGAGAAACAGTTGTGGCAGCTAATAAGCCTCTGTCACTTCCTTATATTGTATTTCAGCTATCTGCCCCAGGGTGGATGCAAAAATCGGATTCCTAATTCCAACATTAGATTGTGAATTAATCACAATCTCTGAAAGCCTGCCTGAAATACTTTATGAGGCTTTAGGGGAACAACTATATACAAACCATAACATTCTGCCCCTGATCCCACTAAGACTCATGCATAGCTCTTTATGCAAAAGGCATTTTAGTCCATTTCTAAGAGTTGCCAAAGTCCTAATAGTTTTAGAATTACTGAAAAGTCCATTCCCCAAATCTCTTCCAAGATCTAGGGCAAACTCATTATGGCGAGCCCCTGTACAAAAAATTTAATCGCTTTCAGCATTCAATGGCATGATGAAAACAATACAATTCCAAAAGGAACAGGGGGATACAAAACACTTGGACCAAATTAAGTCCAAAATCAAGAAGGACAACAGTCCTGTAGTTCCATATGGAACACCTGAAGTAATTTGTGGAAAGTTATGAACTCCATGTGGCTCCACCTCTATGGCACTTTTGGTGACAGGTTCCAAGGCTTCACTCTTATTCCAACTTTGTTTCCTCATTACAACTTGCCTTAGATGATCTAAGTTCCTGTCTTTTTCAAAATCTAGGGTTTCCACTGCACTGTAGATTTCTCACTCTCTGCTTCATGCACTGCCCTACCACGGGCACACTGCCTGGCCTGCCAGGCCTTCTGAAATCTATGTGGAAGCCTTCTTATTCTCAGAACTGTTGAATTCTGCCTGCATCTAAAACCAATGGCACATGAGTGATGAAAGGTCTGCTATAGCTGCAGCAGTAGCCAGATTTTCTTCTCTTTTGGATATAGGGGTTGAGTGCCTGGATTCCTGAACACTTTGAACCTGATGCTGTTCAATACATTGTCTATGCTGCCTTTATTTGGAAGCTGATGTGACAACTGCCACCATTCTAGAAAATGGCTTGATCGGTGCCACTATTCTAGAATCTGGTGTGACTTCCACTGCATTTCTGGCACATGGTACCCTGTGGCTTTCTCCTCAATGCAAAGTCTTAAACTTTTACAGTTTTGAGGTGCAAAGAGTGGTGATTTACAGCTTCTTGTGATTCCCTCAGGCTATCTTTTGTACTCTCTTGTTCTTTCTCAGCAATTGAGATCCTCTCAATTCTATGGCTCCAGTCCTTAGCTTTAGTTAATGCTCCTTTCTGCCCAAACTCATAATACTTTAACTCATCCTTTTGGGTTCTGCACTCTTAATTCTCAACATAAAGCTGACAGAAAGCCCCCAGCAACAGCCATACCACTACCTCAACATTCGACTGCTTTGAAATTTCTTTTGAGGACTAATCAGTCCCTTGAGCTTAATCTCAGTCTCAGGCAAAGTCTCTCTTTATGTAAGCAAAATGCAGACAAACTTTCTGCCAAGCCATAACACACATCATATGGGATCCGACAACCAATGCAATCCTTCATCCCAGCAGAAATCTTCCAGCCTGGTCTTTACAGGCAGGATTTCTTTTTTTTTTTTTTTCTTTTCTTTCTTTCTTTATTTATTTTGTAGTTTGTACAGGGTCTCACTACACAGCTTGGACTTATAGTGATCTTCCTATTTTCAGCCTCCCCAGCACTGAGATTATAGGCATGCACTACCAAGCCTGCTCTTGA